TTTTGGTTATAATCACATTTCAATTAAACTTGGTACATAGAGTTTTTGTTACATTGCGCAGACCTCATTAGTTTTACAATCAAATCTGTTCATGTTAATTTTCTGATTTGCATAATTAGTTTTCAGCTAAGTAATTTCAAATTATATTTAATGTGTCTCCAATACTCTCAACACATGGGAGTTCTTTCTAAGCTTTCTTTGATTCATTTTTGTGATAAATTCAAAATGGCCATCAAAACCACTTGAATCATGGGAAATATTTTCATGAACACATAATCATTTTATTGAAGGGATGTTGTATGCCAACTTTGGTGTCAATCTGGCAAATTGTTCATGAGTTATAGCGTATTTTCACTTTTTACTAAATCCAAGATGGCTGCCAAAGGAAGCCATTTTTCAAAAATCTGCTTCAGTAACTTTGTAGAGCTATCAACAGAGATACTATATGCTAAATTGCTTGTCAAACAAGCAAGCAGTTTTTAAGAAGATAATTTTTTGAGGTTTTTTGCATTTTTTTGATAAATTCAAGATGGCTGCCAAAACCACTTGAATCATGGGAAATATTTTCAAGAACACATAATCATCTTATTGAAGGGATGTTGTATGCCAACTTTTGTTACAATCTGGCAAATTGTTCATGAGTTATAGCGTACTTTCACTTTTTACTAAATCCAAGATGGCTATGTAGAGCTATGGCCATAGGTGCTGCAAAGCAAATTTTTAATCACATGAATGAGCCATTTTTAAGAAGAAGATTTTTAAAAAATTTTGTCATTTTTAGTAAATCCAATATGGCGGCCAAGGTCACATGACCGCTAAAGATTTTATTGATGATATTTGCTAGACATGAGCCAATGATGCCACACAAAAAAAACGGGAGTTCCTAGACCCTCAGAAAGTGGTGCAATTGAGCACTTCCAGTTTGTGTTCTACCTAAGATGGCGGCCAGGTCATGTGACCTACATAGCTGGTTTTGGGGTATGCACCACAACTCATGCCCCTTTATCAGCATGCATAATGGCAAATCAATCGCAGCATTATTTTTCAAGTTAGACAGTGATTTAAAAAAACGGCGGAATAATAATAATAAACATAGCAATTACAATAGGGTTTAGCCCCATAGAGCTCGAAACCTTAATAACTTTATTGCATCCTTAGAAATACAATGCTTCTATCAGTTAATAGCAATAAAGATTAGTTGTGATAACTACATTTTTGTTGCATACTACAAAAAGAAAGTTTCAATCAACCCTTGCTATTCCATTGAAGGTTTGTCATGAAAGCTATCAATACTAAATAAAAACACGTTTATCATTTTAGTTCCTAGACCCTCAGAAAGTGGTGCAATTGAGCACTTCCAGTTTGTGTTCTACCTAAGATGGCGGCCAGGTCATGTGACCTACATAGCTGGTTTTGGGGTATGCACCACAACTCATGCCCCTTTATCAGCATACAGAATGCCTAATCAATCGCAGCATTATTTTTCAAGTTAGACAGTGATTTAAAAAAACGGCGGAATAATAATAATAAACATAGCAATTACAATAGGGTTTAGCCCCATAGAGCTCGAAACCTTAATAACTTTATTGCATCCTTAGAAATACAATGCTTCTATCAGTTAATAGCAATAAAGATTAGTTGTGATAACTACATTTTTGTTGCATACTACAAAAAGAAAGTTTCAATCAACCCTTGCTATTCCATTGAAGGTTTGTCATGAAAGCTATCAATACTAAATAAAAACACGTTTATCATTTTAGTTACTAACTAGATGATTGCAGCAAAGCTGACAGCAAGAATAATCAAAATTTACTGCATGCAATGCCGATCACTTCTCTTGAAATATCGTAAAAGGGGCACAGGTGGACTGGTCAAATGCTTTCTTGAGAGGACAGTGGAAGATTTAACTGAGAAGAAGGGTATTTGCCCAAAA